TCATCCTAACTCGGAATGAGGTGAAACCAAGTGCATTGGAAAGCTAACTCAAAGGGATTTAATTTAATAGGTAGTGGCCCTTCCAGTTCCTTGTGTTTTAAGAGATATGGCTCTTTAAAGTTGACCCTCCAAATCGCATTTTTTGCGATTTTCGAATTTTGATACGGTTGCTCTAAAATTCGGGTTAGTCCCATTTCCCACTCAATTTGATCCCCTGAATAAGAATATGAAGTCGAATTTCCAAAATCATGCACGGATTTTGAGATATATGGAAATTACAATTCTAGGTGTTTCCAAAGCACATTTTCGGGCATTTTTGGGGTCGTTTCAATATAGTTGTCATTACAGCTCTTCAAATTCTCGTGTAGCCATTTAATTTTGAGATTCTGAAATGCAATTAGATAGCTGTTATGACAGTTGTTTAATCTGTCTTGTATTTCTCTGTCTGGTCTCTATTTTTTATTGTTAATTTATATATGAGTTGATGAATGTGTGTGATAGAAGAAGTGAATTCAATATTGCATGGGGATGGAATAATCTAGAATTGATCAGTGATAAGAGAGTGATCCATTGGAAGGCTAAAACGTCATGATTGCATATTTATGTTTACATTGATCTCTGCTCAATTAAATGAACAAATAATCACTTCTACCACTTCAATTTGCATTTCCCTTGAAACAATGTTCTAGAATCAAAAGACCATATATCAATTGAAACAATTTGAAGTTGCAAGTTGATTCTTCAATAACTAAAACAGAACTCCAATAACAGAGGATTGTATAAGCTGAATGCGGAAGAATAAGAAACTTAAATATTAGATTTTTGTTACAACTTCCTACCCTTGTAAAAAAAAAAGAATGTCCCCCTTAATTCCATACTTCCTAAACTGCAGATAAAGTGAACTTACAATTCAAATAACAAATTTTAGACACAATATTTTATAACAACATTGCAAATTCTTGAAACAATTCATAGTAGATAATTCTTCAAAGAAAATTATAGACATGAAAAAAATTCAACTGCAAGCTAATTTACAAGACTCTCTTTTCCTTCTTTTCCCTTTTGCTTATTACAACAATAATTTTTTCAGATAGGAATTGATTAAAATACAAAAAGAAGAAAAGAGGAATGGAAAAGGAAATGCATGAAAGCCACCTGTTATAATGTGGTGGCAATCAAAAACAGATGGCACAATATTGAGAATTGAATAGTTAATGGAAATGACGACAGTATCCTTTCTAAATTGAAATTTGACAAAAAAAAACACATGTTGATACCAATAGGGACTGACTCTTCTAATATAGTAGAAAACCTTATTTCAATATTGTAACAACTATTTAATTTTATATTTGAAAAAAATAAGAGAATAGGAGTAAATAATGTTTTAGCAAAGAAATCTTTTTTGATGTTTTAGCAAAGAACCTTGTTGCAAAGGAAGTGTACAAAGAAATAAAGTGTGAAGGGTATTTTTGTTAACATACATTTTTTTAATAGAAATTATGTAAGATTTGTTATTTCTAATACACCAAACCAAACAGTGTATAAGAAATAATGCAGGCATAACTAATGCAAGCACTACTAATGCATGCATTACTAATACACTCTATTTTGCATTGTTCTTATACACTCTATAAATGCAAGCACTACTAATGCAAGCATTACTAATACACCTTATTTTGCATTGTTCTTATACACTCTACCAAACGACCCCTTAGTCTTTATAATTCTTGAGATGAGTTTCGTTTTTGAGTTCCGAATTTTATTCTTAATTTTTGATTTATTATATCTTTCATTAAGATTCTTAAGTTATTACTGAGTTTTTATTGAGAAACCTTTTAACCAAACTATTCTGTCTTAAATTGATTTTTGAGAAAGTAAAGATGAGATTTAAGTAGAGTTTAAAGAATGATTTGAGTAAGAGTATAAGGGAACTAAGAATTCCAAAATGTGTCCCTTTTTACATTGAGAAATGAGAAATTTTGATTTCTAAACAAGTTAATGAGTTCAGAGATATTTCAGAGCAGCACCTCTTTTACAAGGATATTTTGAGCAGTTACCTCAAATTGAGAAAGAGTTTGTTTTATACATTTGAGCATGAGTATATATTTATTGGGAGTAGTATTGAGCACCGATATGGGGATGAGTTCAGAAAACTCACATTTCTCATAAACCAAGTAGCTAACATGGGTAAAGGATTTTACTTTTTAGACGACTCTTTACTGCTTTCGAGCAGAGCTTTAGTAGATCCACTTAGTTGAGGTGTTCTATACCCTAGCAAGGTATAAGACGGTTCAGGCAGTGTGAGCGAGACGTTTTATCATCGTGTATCTCATAATGATGGTTGTCGGTTAGAGAATCTCTCAAATAAGAGTTAAAGAGTAATTTAATGTACTTTCATATGCATCCTTGAGTTAGCATCTTTTAATTATGAAGCTTTAAATACTCCATCTCTTGATAATGCGTTGTATTGAGTTGAGTTGAGGTGAGTATTATCCCAGCCTTATCAGTTCAGTTATTTATTCATTCAGCTTTATTA